TGTGATATAGACTAAAGTTTAGTCTAGCATCAACACAATTTTTTTCGGTTTCTATAACTTTTTTGTTAAATTAAACAAATTCTTTTTAATGGGATTCACGCGAAATTTCTGCGTTCTAAACAGTTTGCACCTAGCAAGCCTGACAGCATCTAAAATCGGCCGGCGCAGACGACACTACCATTCTCCATGGCCGTTAAGCCCACATCCATCACCGCCGCCACAGCTGCCGCAGCCCACCATGGAGACCAGCAAGTCGCCGCCGCTGTACTCGCCGCCGCGGGAGCCCTCCGCGGCGACGGTGATGCTGTGCCCGTGCCTGGCGTTCTTCCTCCTCGCCCTCATCATCATCTCCATCGCGCTCACTGTCCACTTTCGCCTCTACTGCCACACCCTTCTCGCACACCTCATCTCCCCGCACCGCTGCCCCCACCACATCTGACCTCCGGCTCCGCCTGCATCGCTCGCGTGGTCCTGCTTCCCAGAGGCGCGCGCCCTCTGCTGCCGCCGAGATCCCGATCCCTTACGGGTTCCCCTCTCCTCGCGACGCCGGCATGCGGGGCTTACGACGTGATCTGGGGCTTCGCGGCCGGAAGGTTCCTCTGCACCTCGGCTGCCTCCGACGAAGACGGGGACTCGTCGGAGCAGGAGGCGGCGGCGGCGAGCAACCCGGAGGGCGCGGACCGCGTCTGCGCGGCCATCGCGGACGTCGTTGCCGCCGGTGCCGACGCGAACCTGGAGGCAGCGCTATCCGCGCTCTCGCCACCGCTCTGCGAGGCTGTTGTGCTCGCTGTGCTCCACCGCTTCAAGCACGCACACAGGCCGTCCTACCGCTTCTTCAGGTGGGCCACCGCGTCCGGTGGCTTCACCCACACCACCATTACCTACTGCAAGATGTTACACATCTTAGGCAGGACGAGACAGTTCGAGTCGATGGTTGCGATGATCCAAGAGATGGGGAAGGTGGGGGTCCTGTCCATGGACGCCTTCAAGGTTGCCATTAAGTCCTTCGCTGCCGCTGGTGAGATCAAGAATGCAGTCGGCGTGTTCGAGTTGATGAGAAAGAACGGTTTCGATGATGGGGTGGAGTCATTCAATTGCTTGCTCGTTGCTTTAGCCAATGAGGGATTGGGCAGGGAGGCCAGGCAGGTGTTTGACAAAATGCATGGCCAGTACTCTCCAGACCTGTGCTCTTATACTGCACTGATGCTGGCATGGTGCAATGCGAGGAATCTGGTTGAGGCTGGGCGGGTTTGGAATGAGATGCTGGAGAAGGGAATGAAGCCAGATGTTGTCGTCCACAACACAATGATTGAGGGGTTGCTGCGTGGGCAGAGGCGACCTGAGGCCGTGAAGATGTTTGAGCTGATGAAGGCAAAGGGGCCTCCACCAAATGTGTGGACTTACACAATGTTGATCCACAACCATTGTAAGCGGGGGAAGATGGACATGGCAATGGAGTGCTTTGAGGAGATGCAGGAGGCCGGATGCCAACCAGATGTTGCTACCTATACATGTTTGCTTGTTGGATATGGGAATGCAAAGAGAATGGACAGAGTGACTGCTGTGTTGAAGGAGATGACACAGAATGGATGCCCCCCTGATGCTCGGACTTACAATGCACTGATTAAGCTACTAACAAATAGGAAAATGCCAGACGATGCTGCAAGGATATACAAGAAGATGATCAAGAAAGGACTTGAGCCCACAATCCATACTTACAACATGATGATGAAGTCATATTTCCTTGGTGATAGGAACTATGCAATGGGTTGTGCAGTGTGGGAGGAGATGCACCGGAGGGGTATTTGTCCTGATGTTAACTCTTACACAGTGTTCATTAATGGGCATATACGACATGGTAGGGCAGAGGAGGCATATAAATATATTGAGGAGATGATTAATAAAGGGATGAAGGCTCCACAGATAGACTATAATAAGTTTGCTGCAGATTTCTCTAAGGCTGGGAAACCAGATATATTGTATGAGTTGGCCCAGAAAGTGAATTTTGCAGGGAAATGCGATGTATCTAATGTGTTCTTTCAGTGGGCAGATAGAACGAAGAGTTGGGTCAAGAGAACTGTACCTAATCAGATTGGTAATAGAATGTTCCGAGATTACCACACTGCCAGCAGGAATGTGGCATGCTGTCATGGTGCTTGAAATTTGATTACTAAGGAGAGCTGCTACCTTTTTTTGCCCTTGCCATTGGGTAATGTGCCATTGAAGAGTGCATGCCTTAATATTCGTTGGGCTGACAATGTTTTTCTTGAATATGCTCGGACCGAGAATGTTGAGTCAATTTAGGTTGTAGCTGTCATATTTCTCGTTAGGGCAGTTTTAGATGCTTGTGTATTTATTTTTATATTGCTCATAGCTTAGAGCTAGCTGGAAATTAAATCCCCTACTTGATTCCAGCAAGCATGTTTATATTCTCTTTAATGTTAAAATGAAGCATTGAACGGCCATTAGGCTTATGCTGAATATATGTATTTCCAGATACACCCTAAAGCAAATTTGCCATTGCTGAACAATGACTAATTTCTTCTGCTGTCTGAGATGCATATTCACTAGAAATTCTACAGAGAAATGGATAAATAAGTACTCAGAAGTGTGTGTGTAGCATCAGTTCCATATAGAGTTGCATTAGGTCATTCAAAATGGCCTCTTTCTACAATTTCAGTTGCGTCAAAGCCGTACAAGTTCCTTTCATCTATGCTATGTTGTAGCAGATGTCAACCTGTGCAAACTTTCATGTATGCTGTGTTGGATAACTAAGTTCCTTTCACATTGTCATCAAGCCCTTATACAAAAGTTAGCTCTGTTCTAACAAGGTCATTTTCATCTCCTTTGATGCTTACCATACAATCACTTTCATCTAAGTACAGTACAGTTCATGAGTCAAAACCAGCTCTTGCGTGTCATTCAGAACTGTTGATCTTAGTTTATGCAAAGTGAAGGACCCAAGGACATTACCTTTGATCTTTTGTGCTGTGTGGAACTGTCAGAGATTTCTGTATCAACGATTTGAGGCTGGTATAGTAGTCCTTGCACTGACATTAAACTGTTGGGAACGTTAAAGATGTGGCATGCTTGGTCTGGTCGGGATATTATATTAGATTGGTAAGGCTGACCCACAGCAATGCAGAAACATTTTTAGGTATCAAGCAATATGAATTACAGATCTTGTGTCATCCTTCCAAATCAAGGTTTAGTATATAATTTTAACAACAACAACAACAAAAGCCTTTAAGTCCCAAACAAGTTGAGGTAGGCTAGAGTTGAAACCCAGCAGCAATCAAGGTTCAGGCACGTGAATAAGCTGTTTTTCAAGCACTCCTATCTAAGGCTAAGTCTTTGGATATATTCCATCCTTTCAAGTCTCATTTTATTGTCTCTACCCAAGTCAACTTCAGTTCTCTGTCTCTCTTTACGTTACTATCCTGACTTAAGATTCCACTACGCATCGGTGCATCTGGAGGTCTCCGTTGGACATGTCCAAACCATCTCTTTAGTATATAATTTTAACCCGACGATTAAAAAAAATTTTTTTTTGATCGAACACCAGTCAAAAATTTTTTAAAAGATAGAGAGCACTGAATATTTAATTATAGCTGATGCCTTTTAACATTCCTCAAGGCACTTAAGGTTACTGTTCTTTCACCTACTAATTCTAGCTTCGAAATGCTTCTTTACCACTCAATATTTGACATGTGGCATTTAGCAATCTATTAAGAAAGCTAGTTATTCGTGGGTACCAGGCAATTTGATCTACAGTTCTTGTTTCATCTTTTCAGGTCAACTTTAATATAATTGTGTTTTGACATTCAAAAAAATTTGTTCAAGGTACAAGGCCTACCATGTGCTTAATTACGTTTGATGCCTTTTAACATTCTTCGAGACACACCTAAAGCATATTGCTCTTTAACTAGCACATGTGACTTGCAAAATCTATTTTATTATCACTCATTGTTTTGACTTTTGAGATCAATGCATTTATGACATCGTGTTAAGAAAAACTTGTTATTCACAGGGTAATATGCCATGTTCGCTTGGAGGAATTTGAAGAAATCTAGAGGAATTTGTGAGAGCATGAACAGTGTTTTTCATGTAGGAACAGTGTTTTCCGGCTGGTTTCTACACCAGCCGAACGGCCCCATAGCTCCTTATTGTTTAGGATTGTTTGTTTCTTTGATTAAATTAGTTACCTGAGTTATTTCTTTGTTTCTTTTTTCATGCCATGACAAAGAAAACACCATCATTATCAAATATTCAAATGCCTAGAGTTGGGAAAAGTTTGACTATAATATTGATCTTCTTTCGTGGTCTGAGTGGAGTTTTTGCAGCTATTCACAGGCTGTGAAGTTCATGCGCTGCCCTCCTTTGTGGACACATTTTCTGTTAACAAAATGCTAAACAGTTGCATTCTACTTAACTTGTGATTTTGATGGAGCTCTGTTGCTGTGGTTCTTTGACATTTGTTGGTCCTTTGAGCATTAGATATGCATTATGCATTATGCTGTTCTCTATTGATCTCTACAGTGCATATTGTGGAGATCACTTACATGTTAATAATTTTTCTTCCCTCCAAACTAGATTTTTCAGTTCCATCATATTGTACATTCTTGAAATGTTCTTCTGTCTTCCTATACTCGGTATTCCTGTAACTAGATTTAAACAAGGGTACAAGACAACAAACCTTAATAAATATATCACAGCACATGCAAATCTTTTGGTCTACCATGTGGTGAGTGTTTCCAGCTTGGCACTCGGTTGGTATGAGGCTAACAAATATCTACTATTGAGTTTGTTAGCTCCCGTGACTCTGGGCACTGCTTCACCATTTTGTGACTTTGGTATGCTTATTATGTTTGGTGAGCTCAATTTTCTATATTCCAATCCCTGCTCCTAGTTAATTCTGATAGCTGGAGTCTGCAGATCTTGTTTTCTATTGCTTCACTCCTGGATTAATCTGTCTGGATCACTAGATTGGTAGGATAAAACTAAAAGCAATGAGAATGGCATGACTCTGGGCCTGAATTTTGCGCAAGATCCGACTGTTCATTTGGTTCAAATCTTTGCTGCTGAACTGCATCTGCTGGGCCTTCACTTTCTTTAGTACTTCTGTGGTCCTTGTACAGACTGCACTATTTATGTCCAATCTTCACTATTCAGTGTATTTCACGTGAATAAATAATACATAAGGCGTGTGAAACCTAATCTGGATTCATGTATTGTCCTAATTTTTATGTAAAAAAAATATCTGACAACCTGGATGCATGATTGTTCTAACAGAGAAACTCTATGTCGAAAGTACAAGTGAGATAGCAGTAAATTGTTTGTTCCTGTGTCACTGATTGACAAATCATTTTTTTAATTTGAGGTGTTATGTACAAGTGTCATTTTCATTGTTATCTTGCTTAGTTTCTCCAGTTGCCACTTGCCAGTGGAAAAGAGTTACAGGATGATAAATGATGAAGCACAGTGCTCTGTTTTTTTTTTCTTCCTTTCTTGAGGTTACCTTAGGATTTTGATACTGAAATTTCCCTCTAAATTATGGACTTGATAGATTAAAATCATCTCCTTGATACCACCACCATCAACCTTGAAAAAATTGATAAATATGAATGTGTTGACTTGATTCCATTTTATCTTCTCCTTATTTGAGCTTATATTCTTCTTTCATTTACGGTGGAAAACCAAAAGCAAATAAGTGTAATCTTATATTCTTATTGAAGGTACGAAATAATGTTCTGTTTGAACATTCCCTAGCAGCATAATGAACGTTCGGGAAAGCAGGAATAAAATGCTGCTGTTTTTCACTGCACCAACTGTATGTATACTGAAAGTTTAAAAATGATGTTTTGTTTGAAAATTTCCCCAGTAATACATAATTTACATTTGTACAACCTTCCATAAGATTCATTTAAATTCATTGACTTAATGAATATTAATTACTAGCTGGTCCTCCTCCGGGGCACGCATATAATTCATATAGTTGATGCATTTCTTCTTTGGTCCTGTAGAAATATAGAGAGAAAAAAAAGAGGAGAAAGATCAGCATGTTTTGATTCGACTATAATCTGTGCCCTCAAGAAATCAGTGAACAGGAGTCAGGACTAACCTCCAGCAGCTGCAACCGATACTGCCTCTGACCACTCTGGACGATGTGAATCAGTCGCATAACAACGTAGAGCGGCAGCAGGATACCAGCAGCACGAAGTAAGTACATCTGCAAAGAAACATAACCTCAGCTTTTACTCCATCAAATCAGGTTACTTAAACTCTCTCTTCTTTTCTGCTGGGCCATGCCAACAGTGAACTCACTGTCAGGAGACTGAACGCGCAGTGATCTGCTGCTTCAACCGTCACCACTGCAACCAGATGCCATGCCAACAGCATAATGGTGAACTGCACAGGATTGCACAAGTCAGAATCCAGGGTCAGCATGGATCAGGACTCGTCCTGAACTGAAGGACGGTTATTTCAATTCGCTGCATGACTTCGAACACTTTATACCGTGATCGCCAGCGACCGGCACCATGTGGCGCATTGATCTGCGGTGTAGGAGAACCTGGTGTAATCTTCACCGTCAATCAAGCCCACCGGAGATTCCAAAGATTGCATGTCCTCATGTTCACTACACGATCAGTTGACAGAAGAGTTCCATTTACTGACAAAATTTAGATGGTTGCCAATTTGATCGGACTCCCATTACAGAAAGTATACAGGCCCTGAGGCCCACTTGAATCCATTTTATATTTTAATTTTTCTTTGCAAGCTTTCTGAAACTTTTGCAGTTTAATGATTTTTAAAGAATGGATGGTTAGTCAACATTCTCAAATTCAAATTTTGGTCTGAAGTTTCTAGACGAAAAATTCCAATTCCTTGGTCACCACTAACAACTAGGTTTCCGGTAACTGGAGCCCTTTGACAAATGGTGAATCTAGTGGCTGCAATGCAAAGTTGCGTGAAGATGCAATGAATTAATGTTATGTATTGTGATTGAGGACACCAAGTGGCCGGAGCACTAGCTGGAGGTGCTAGGTGGATGTGCATTGACACTGTCTGTGATTTGGTTTTGGACACACGCTTTTGACAGGACCACTCTTCTCGCCCATGCAACAGCACAGCTCAGTCACAGGTCATACATACTGTTGAGTGCAGCTGTCTTTTCTGTTCATTGTGGCAATGAAGAGGTTATTTCTAGTAGCTATCACATTGCTAGTTAAGCGCGTATATACCAGCATTATGCATATATATAATTGCTGCATAAGCTCTATGAAAACGTCTATCCGACGTATCTTCTATGCAATTTTGGTGTACTCCCAAATGTCGATGGATTCGTTGAGGACGGCCTGAAAGCGCCAGTTTCCAAACAGCAAATCTTACTAGTGTTAGCCCCTGGATTTTCGGCACGGGTGAGCCAACTACTCACTAGCGTTGCCGACCACACAGTATGGCTAGAGGTAGAGGAAGGGAGGGAGAACAGAGCACGCACACACACAACACAAGCACCAGCATTGCCGAAGCTCTACAGACTAGATGGCAAAACTGAACTCGCTCTCTTTACTGAGTTGCAGTGACAAACTATATATATAACTCTACCCATCTAATCCTAGTACACAGACATGTCAGGCTGTCATGCTGCTACAGTGACTAGATGTGACAGCAAGGCTGACTTTGGCGCATGCCCCTGCTGTGGCTACAGTGCGGCAGGGGAGCCTTTCGGCGTCTGCCCCTACAGCGGCTACAATGCAGCAGCAGATAGCCCTTTTCGCGGCGTATGTCCCTGCCGCACGTTCACACAAGGGGAGCAACATATTACTTAACAATTCTTTCTCTAATCCTGCTGCTAACCCTTGAACCCCCTCCATGCCGATCATCTTCTTCAGCTCCGTGAATCGAAGACGGCCGAGCGGCTTGATGAGTCCGTCTGCGAGTTGTTGATCAGTTTCAACGAACTCAATGACGATCTGCCCTCCATCGATACAGTCCCTGAGGAAGTGAAACTTGACGTCGATGTGCTTGCTCCGGTCGTGGAGAACCAGATTCTTCGCGAGGGCGATGGTGGACTGGTTGTCCACCATCAGTGCTGGTGGGTGAGCTTCCACACCTGTCAGCTCTTCCAGCAGCCGGCGTAGCCACACAGCTTGGCACGCCGCTGTGGCCGCCGCCACGTACTCTGCCTCACACGTGGACAACGCCACCACCTTTTGTTTCAGCGATAGCCATGAGATTGGAGCCGACACGAGAAAAACGAGCACGCTAGAGGTGCTCCGCCGTCCATCGATATCCCCTGCCATGTCTACATCGCTGAATACAGTGAGCTGCAACCTACTTCTGCCGATCTTGGGGAAGACGATCCTCTGATCCACTGTCCCCTTGACGTAGCGCAGCAGCTGCTTCACCGCAGCCCAGTGATCATTTCGAGGATCCTCCATGAAGCGGCTGACGTAACCCACCGCGAACGCAATGTCTGGCCTCGTGTGGACTAGGTAGCGCAGACCGCCGACGATGCTCCGGTAGAGTGTTGCATCTACCTTCGCCGCGGTACTAGCCTTCGTCAACTTCAGTTGCTCCTCCATCGGAGTCACGCATGGCTTGCACTCAGCCATGCCACTCCGCTCCAATAGCTTCGAAGCGTACGTGCTCTGACCAAGCGTGAGCGTCTTCTTCCCTTGTCTCACCTCGATGTTGAGGTAGTATGAGAGCGCGCCGAGATCGCTCATTCAAAAACAAGCCACCATCTCGCGCTTAAAGCTATCGATGTCCTCCGTACGTGCGCCGGTGACGATCAAGTCATCCACATACATGCTGGCGACGAGCTCCTCCTTTCCCTGTCGCCGCGTATAGAGCACATGCTCGGTTGCGCACCGCGTGAACCCAAGCTCGCCCAGCGATGGCGTCAAGCTTGGCGTTCCACGCTCGTGGGGCCTACCGCAGCACGTAGAGCACCTTGCGCAGTCGGAGCACCCTGTGCTCGCTCCCTTGACGGTGAAACCCGAAGGTTGTCTGATGAAGACCGTCTCCGCCAGCTCACCGTTGAGGAAGGCCGATTTTACGTCCAGGTGATGGATGTGCTAGTCCTTTACTGTTGCCAAAGCCAGAAGCAGTCGGATAGACTCCATGCGCGCTACCGACGCAAAGACTTCCTCGAAGTCGATACCCTCGCGCTTGACAATGGTGTCGCGCTCGTCCCGCTTGACCTTGTACACCCACTTTAGGCCGATCGGACGGCATCCTAGAGGTGGATCGATGAGCTCCCAAGTCTCATTTTCCTCGATCGCCTTCATCTCCTCCAGCATCGCCCGTCGCTAATTTGCATCGCGCTCGGCCAGCCGAATATGGGTGGTTCCTCTACACTGATGAGAAGCAGCTCTAGGACATTGAGCAGCTGACCCGCCAGGCCTGAGGGCCCTATGCCACCGATGATGTCGTCCAGCCTATGGAACCGCACCTTCTCATCGTCGTGGAAGGCATCCACGAACTCAGTGATGTCGTTTGGAGGTGAGGCAAACTCGATCGGCGTCGATGGAGTTCCTTGTTCCACCGGAGTGGTTGGCATAGCACCTAGAGTGCTCGGCACCTCGGCTGTAGTGCTCGGCACTACTCCTGGACCGCTCGTCACCAGTCTTGGAGTGGTCGGCACCACTGCAAGACTTCTTGGTTCCGCTACGGGAGCGTTCGACACCCGTCCTGGAATAGTTGGCACCACTGTAGGATCGCTTAGAACCACTCCTAGAGTGCTTGGCACCCCTCCTGGAGTGCTCGGCACCCCCGAGTGCTCGGCTCTATTGCTGGAGTGGTCGACACCTCCTCTCTAGCATCGCCACCACCGTGGATGACCAAGTGCTCGACGATGAAGGTGCTGGTGAAGCCGCCAGCTTCCCCGTGCCTGGACTATCCTAGTCCTAGGCCGCCTTCTCATCAAACACGACGTCACGTGAGACAACCACCTTGCCTCCACATGGGTTGTAGAGCCGGTACGCCTTGGTACCTTCCGCGTAGCCTAGGAGCACCATTGGTGTGCTCTTGTCCTCCAGCTTGGTGAGGACCGGCTTTGTCTTCCTGATGTGGCCGATGCAACCGAATGTTTGGAGGAAGGACACGCTCGGCTTGCGCCCATACCAAGTTTCAAACAACGTCTTGCCCTTAAGGGCCTTGGTGGGCGCGCGATTGAGGATGAACACCGCCGTGGTCACCGCCTCACCCCAGAACTTTCTTTGGCATGCTCTTGGCCTTCATCATGGATCGAGCCATGCCAACCACCGTCTGGTTCTGCCGCTCCATCACACCATTCTGCTGTGGCGAGTACGGTGTGGTGTGGTGTCGCACCATACCCTGGTCCACGCAGTACGCAGCGAACTCCACTGAAGTGAATTCGCCACCCCGATCAGTCCGTAGCACGCGCATCTTCTTGTCGCTTACGCCTTCATGCGCCTTGAACTTCTTGATCGCCTCCGCCACCTCGTCCTTCCTCGTCAGGAGTTGCAGCCACATATAGCAACTATAATCATCCATGAGTAGGAGGAAGTACCGCCGACCACCGTTTATAGCTGGCGTGATTGGCCCACAAAGATCGCTGTGGACGAGCTCGAGAGCGTCCGCCGCGCGATACTTGGCCGCCTTTGGGAACGGCAGCCTCCTCTGCTTCTTGGCCAGGTAGCTGCCACACAGCTTGCCTATGTGCTCGATGTGGGGCAGCCCTCGGACCATCTTCTCTAGCCGACCGAGTGCGTCGAAGCTGAGATGGCCGAACCGGGCATGCCACAGCCATGGCTCCTCGGCGTGTCGTGCTGCCAGGCACACCGACTGCTCCACCCTCAAGTCGAGCAGGTACAGCCGGTTCCGGGTCCTCTTCACCTTGGCAAGAAGGCGCTGCCTGATCCCCTTGATCAGTACCTCGCTATCGCGCTCATCTAGCTGGGCAATGCTGATGATGCTTGAATGCAGCTACAAGATGTAATATACATCCGTTAGCAGTGCTCGCCGTTCTGGCACCTGAAGATGATGGTGCCGCTCCTCGAATCGCCACCCTTGATCCGTCACTGAACTTCACTGTGCCGGTCACGTCGTCGTCAAGCTCGGAGAAGGTTGCCTTAGAGCCCATCATGTGGTTGCTAGCGCCAGAGTCCAGGTACCACCGCTGGTCCTGCTCGCCGCCCACACATATGAGGTGGACTTGGGCGCGCGGTTCATCGAGGTTGATAGCTTTTAGAACCTTCCTAGGCCCTTCCACCGCCATCACCTCTCCCTTCTCCTTGGCCTCAACGTCGTGCAGTGCACAGAACGTCACCATCAGGAGAGTGGCCTCATCATCATCATCATCCTGCGCCAGATGAGCCTCAGCCTTGTTCTCCTACTTGCGATTTGGGCACTCCTTTGCCCAATGACCCGTCTTCCCACAGTGCCGACAGGCGTTGGGGTTGACCTTCTTCTTCTTCTTCTTCTTCTTCTTCTTTCTTCTCCGAAGAAGCCTTGCTATGGCGCTTGTCATTGCCACCATGGCTGGAGGAGGCTTCCCGGAGTTCTTCTAGGCAGCCCACTCCTCCTCTATCAGCAACAGCTTGCCGTTGTCCTTCGACGCTATGGCCTGCTCCATGCGTTCGTCCATCGCCCCTCAGATGACCTGTCACATCCTCAATGCTGAGGGTGGATAAGTCCAGCATCGTCTCTATGGAGAGAGGAATTTGGATGTACTTTGTTGGCATGGAGTGGAGGTACTTGGAGACCGCCTCTTCTTCGTCGATGGTGATGCCGTGGCTCCTCCCTTGCTGATGAGAGTCTATAGGCAGAGGGAGAAGTCCTCCATCGATTCACCATCCTTGAACTTGAGGTTGACGTACTCGCTTTCAGAAATTGGGCGGCGGCGCCTTCTTTGCGTGGTGGTCGAACCGACGCCAAGATCGCCGCAATGGCCTCTCACGCCTCCTTAGCAGAGCTCTTCGCCCTAACGGCTCCTGTGCCTTGGCACAGCAGCAGAGGATAGCCTCAACGCCGACATGTCTTCTTCTGTCGATGCCCTTGTTGTCGATTGCCCTTGAGCCGTCGGGCTATGAGCTTGACCTTCATGGTCCGCCCACGCCGCCATAGTTGGTGCGCGAGTGGCTGCGCTGGCGATCTCTCTCGTGACCGTGGCGCACAACGATCTCCTATCGTGGCTAGGCATCCATAGTAGCTCCGCTGTTGTTGCCCATCTCCAAACCGTCCGTCATCGCCAGCAGTTAGTCCAGCGACGGCGCTTGTACGGCTCCAATACCACTTGTTAGCCCCTGGATCTCCGGCACGGGTGAGCTGACCACTCACCAGCGTTGCCGACCACACACTATGGCTAGAGGTAGAAGAAGGGAGAAAAAACAGAGCACGCACACACACAGCACAAAGCACCAGCGTTGGCCGGAGCTCTGCAGAGTAGATGGTAAAACTGAACTCGCTCTCTTTATTGAGTTGCAGTGGCAAACTATATATAGAACTCTACCCATCTAATCGTAATACACAGACATATCAGGCTACCATGCTGCTACAGTGGCTACAGTGCGGCAGGGGAGCTTTCGGTGCCTGCCCCTGCAGCGGCTATAGTGCAGCAGCAGAGAGCCATTTTCGACACCGCCTGTCCCTACCGCACGTTCACATAAGGGGAGCAGCAGACTACTTAACAACTAGTACTGCCTACTAATTTGTTTTTGCTTAGATGTGTGTTGCTGCCGGATCTTAGATGGTGGGTGCTCGACACTCTGTGGTACCTGGATGCAAAATATATGCATGCTTTGCCTTGGCATGAGGTATGTAGCTGTCTGGCCATTTTAAATAAATGTTTAATGGTGACATGCATGGATCAGATCTCATCAACCTCCGGTTGTTAGCAGCCTAATCGCTTTTGTCGCGGTTTGAATGACTCTGTGTTGTTCGAAAACAATGTGCTACCTAATGATCTGTATGCTTCCGTTGAAGGGCGGTAATCTCTGTTACTGCTGATGGAGGACATGGCAGTTAGTTTCATGACACTGGCCAGCTAAGCTTAAATATAATCAGCTAGGACAAACAGTATATGTTTTTTTTATTAATCCATCAGCCTGTGACCTGATTGGACAATGCAATAGATTGTGTAGATAGAAGCAAGAATGTGTGCGTGTGTAGAGAGAACTACCTGATAGTGACCGCCGTTTCAACCACCGGAGTTTTCTTTGGAGGCAATGTGTAGCCTGGCTCGAAACTCTGGAAGCAGAAAAAACATAAACATCAATTTTCCTTTCCTTTCCTTTTAGAAGATATAGCATAGATCAAAAGGATGAATTTCTTTTGGTTATTAGTTTGTAATAAAGTGTGCTATTTATGATGCACATGTCATTGCTGAAGATATGATGGGGCAGCACAAGATAGCTAATATTTTACACCACATTGCACTTGCTTACGGTTGAAAGGTAGACCTACTTTGTTCACCCTCAAAGAAATATCTCTTGCTTAGGTTTCACGAAACATGTACATGTCAACCCTTAATTGCAGTCCATAAAGAAGGAAAGTGAGCTTAGCTGACACCTTTCCCACTAACTACAACTTTCTAGCCACCCCCAAGAAAAGCAGCATTTCATTGATAATAGTACAGTAATTAACAAGACACATATATATGATAAGAACAAGTAACAAGAAACAATGTGCAAGCAAATTAACCAACCTGAAGGCAAATCTCACAGAGGGTACTCCCCTTCTCATCACACCATCTCTGCACACATCCCCTGTGAGCATACTGCATGCATTTTGCATACGCACGGTTTCACGTTACATTAGCATACCAATGTCAAAACACCATCGGCAGTAGTTTCAAGTAAGAAATTGCCTCAAGAAACCAAGACTAAGAAATATTTAAGACATATATGTAGAATTGAATGATGTGTGTTAGTTCCTATGTACCTTGAGAGAGCCGAAGCATCCACAAGGAGACTCCATGGTCGCGCGCCCTTCGTTCTCTTCCTCATGGCAGATCCTACACTGCATCAGGTAACCCAAGGAGGAAGAAGACGAAGGCAGCTCCTCTTCATGTTCCATTCCTTTCTCCCTTCCAATGATCTCCCTCCCATACGCTTGCAATGCACAGAGGAAGAAGGGGCTTTAAATAGCCATGGAGCCAGTCACTGTCACTTCATGTCCTCGTGGGAGGATTAGGATAATACAAATGCCACCACCCACTGCTTACCAACCACTGTTAAGAGGGACCCAACCTTTTTGGTTTGTTCCTTTAGCTAGTAATTAAAACAAAGCTGCCCATCGAAGGAAAAACGAAGAAAAGAAACACCAGCTGTTATCAGTATCATCTCCGCCCATCATAACTACTGGACGATTGTTAGGCACGTAATCTTTGGCTTTTGAAGCTTAGTGGATGATAGTTGGATATTGCTATCATTGCAGCAGGACAAGGGAGACACCAATTGAAGGACCAGGCGACCAGAGGGGGTGAATGGGAGCTGATAAAAGTTTCTTCAATAAGAAACTCGGCCTATGTCCAATGCCCCTCTCAATCAATCGTCAAGATTACTGACCCCAACTAGTGGTGTAATAATCTTAGGAACGATTAAACAGGTTAATAGGCAAACGTATGGATTTAACCAGAAGCCAAGATGTTGAGAAAGGAGCAGCTGTTGCCAATGGCTTGACCCTGACAGCAGCTTGCTGGTGGCCGGCAAATAGCAGGTGCTGAACTCCCGTCCTGGCGTGCTCGACCAGCAGCAGCAGGGAACGGCAACAACACCCAGAGGACGGCAGAAACTGGACTCCGCGACGGCGCGCGGGAGATCCCTGGCGACGGCGGAACTGAGACCCCCAGGTGACAATCTGGAACAGTGCAGAACACAGAACCAAAAGCAAACACAACTACCCTGGCGGCGGACGGTAGGAAAAGTAGATGCAAACAAAAAGGAACAATTCACCAAGATGAATGATTAACTCCAGTAATCGTTCTACAAAAATGCATCTAGCCTCCGCCCGATCGTCCACCCTCTCTTGATTGGAGAAATCAATAAAAATCTCTCTCTAGACTTGAAGACCTAGGCCAGATCGAGAGAGAAGGTGTGTTCCCTGGAACCCTAGGCACGGGTACTGTTCCCGTGAACAGTAACTCGCACCAAAAATCCCAAAAGCCCAGCCGCCTCTCAACTCTAGGTGCCACATATTTATATCTCCAAAAGGTGGCCCACCTAAATTACAAGACTGTCATTACGCGACGTAAACGACACGTAATGACATGATAAACATATCCAATCAATCACGCCCTCCATGGCAAATTCCGCGATGTTCGTGATCCCTCCATCTCCGCGATGTGATCCTCGCGATGTCGCCGACCATCCGAAATCATATCACGATCGCGGAAATTTCCATCTCCGCCACGCCGCCGCGACGAAGCGCCCCAGTACGTCCTTGGTTTTGTGGCTCAACCAAGAAACCGTCCATCGATGTCCTCCCGCCGTGTAGCCAGATACAGTAGACGTACACCGCACAATCTCCGTCCCTCGAACGCGAGCGTCGAACCACCCTTCACCGCCCCGCGGTTCATCAGCATGGCATCCTATCCCCGTTCTTCACAGATCGCCGCATGATTAGTCTCCACCTATCACCTGCAACTACAACCTGCCAAGAGACACGTCACACGCACACCGTGTTGTCAATCGCTCATCACAAGGCACTAGCCCCACGGGCATCTCACCAATCAACAGCTAGAAAGGATGAAACTAAGATACGGGTTGAACTATATATACAATTATTATACATTAACATACTGTTTCTGCCACCGTCTATATGTGCCATCTTTCCCTTGGATTTTATGTTTTTTTTTGTTTCATTGCGGATGCATTCTTATCATTGCTTTGCGTGACTTCACTTCATAAAAGCACAGCTGTTTAGCAGCATAGAAAATTTCTATTAGAAATGGCCAATATATGTAGTTGTATAGGATACCTTAGAGATTACATGGATAACTGCAATTTTTAATAATCCATCAGTCCTAAAAGATACAGTATCAAAACATTCAAAATTTATCCCAAAATATAGAGGAATTTAGGATTTATTTGGCTGCACTTGTATTCATATCAATCCACATGTATTGGGGTGAAAAATTAACTAATTTCACTCCAATCCACTCTGGCACATATAAATTGATGTGGATACGAGTATAACCAAACAAGCCTTTAGGTGAAATAATGCTAGACTGTTTTAAAAGGCAGCATTCACATGCATGCTGTAAGAAAAATGAGACATAGCTAGAGCCATGTTTAATTTTGGTGATTGTATGGTAACATGATCAATTGCACTAATAATGTTTGCTAGTATACAAGGTATTTAGTTTAAATGGATGTAAGGATGCCTCGGACAAAGGCAACATGAAGATCCAGTGATCAACACCTCAAGGAAAATCAAGAAGCCCAAGACATCAAGTAGAAGAAGCCCTAGTAAGAAGACACGAAGAAACGAATCAAATGGACACTAAACAATACCACCAGAATTCTCCGATGATATCTTGCTTAATAGCGCCAGAGCTTAGGCTATAGCCCACACCTAGAGTTTAGTCCACCTGTCCAAGACTCATCAGAATTCTCCGGTGGTGTGGGTGTTTACAATGACAGTAGCCTTAAGCCAACTGTCTGTGCAATTATTTGTGCATGTGATTTTCAAGTGACACGTTACCATTTCCACTAGCCTTTTACACCGGCAATTCAAAATACCGCCAATAAAATAAAAAGTGTTGTTAGTACAAACATTTTTATATACATAATTGTTGATTTTACATAGCATTTTCTCTTTGATATGTTGTCATGGTCCTTGCCTGGGAGGTAGTTGGACGGCTGCCGGCGGCTAGGGCTAGGCGGCAGTGTTGGTGTGGGCGCGGCGACGGCGGTGTTGCAAACGTCGAACTACTGTGGGGGCGCGATTAGGGTAGGGCGGTGGCATGGGCGGCGTGCGCGGGGGAGGAGAGGGCGTCGGCGGCTAGAGAGAGAGGGGTGGGGGAGGGGGGAATTGGTAGAGAGCAATAGCCCTATTCCTTGCTTAGATTGAGATAGTTACATTGCCCCTATATTTATAGTCCCCGGACGATTTGTACTCCAAGCAAACTATGAGAAGTGTCCTTACAAATTTGGACTTCTTCTTTCATGGCAAACCAGTCATAATTCCTAAACAAACTCAACCATATTTTCTAAACAATTCTCTATTTATTTTTCTATTTTTAGTCTAAACTTCCTTTTATTCCGATCCTCCCGGATATCAGGAGATTGAGGGGGTGGCGGTGACCCTTCCTCCTAGTCGCGCGCCTCCCTTGCCGCGCGTAGGGTGGCCCTCGGGCCAGCTAGGGCTCTATTTTGGGCCTCTCCTTGCCCTTTTGGCCCGACATTGGGGGGGAACCCCCTTCTCCACATGGCACGTCCTTGCACCAAATCATTGTCCAATTGTTGATGTCGTCAACGGGTAGATCTCCATCCCATGGTATTGCCTCCATGCGAAGAACAAGGTGGCCCAGTGCATTGTCTCTCAAGATGATGCCGTCATGGTTATTGTTGGGGGAGAACTTGAAGTAGTAGTGGCAGCTGCCGATGCAGCCAAAGATGTAGTAGTTGTAGGTGCGAGAGTCGGTCATGGATGAAGAGGGCCAGAGGTGAAGGGAGGTCGACAGGAACATAGACCTATTGTCGGTGCAAAAAGTGACCAACAAGTAAATATTTGTAGTTTTGCCGTGCGTTGTGATCGGATATCGCCTAGCACTCAATGACACAGGATTTATACTGGTTCAGGCAATGTGCCAGGACGGACATATGTCCCTTAGAAATTCCCGACGAAGACCCTCTTGAGATCTGCCTAGTCGTGGATGCTGTCGGGCGGAAGGAATTCGAGCCATGCTCGAACATGCTCCCCACGCAGATGGGGAGATACTAGATGATGAAATGGTCATCATCCACTCCTCCGACTCAGCAGGCGAGCCAGAAGTCTTCGAGCCATATACCGGGGTTCGTTTCCTCGGTGTATCTGGTGATGTTGGTGGGTGGTCGGAAGCGCTGTGGGAACGGCGCTTTCTAGATGCGATGACCAAAGGCCCGTGGTCCCGGGCTATCCAGGCTAGGACTCCGGCAGTTTGGTCACCACCATGCCTAGGGTGCGTGTCCCCACACTCCTCGATGGTTAAGCCGGGGCCTGTATCGCTGCTCTTGCCGCCACTCGATAGGCGTCATCATCATGCCGGGCATGGCGTCGATTGTTGATGACGCTGCGAGCGTCACGGTTTGACCCGAGGAGTTCGCGCACAGGTGGTTGGTGTGGATCGGGCATCGGGTCGGGCTGTGGTGCAGCCACGGCCTCCTGCCCACCCCTGGCAACAACAGTGGTGAGTGGACGGAGCGATTCGACTAGTGCGGCCCTAGTCCTCCGGTTGGGCAAGAGGCCACGAGCCGGTGTCGTGACGCGGAGCTCTCCGCCTGTTGAACGACAGCAGTCTCCACTAGCGCCCGAAGGTTCCGGTGGATTGCTTGTTCCTAGGGGTCAGCTGGCTCGGGGAGGCCGCACAGAAGCATCGCTGCAGCAGCGATTTTTTGGCCAGCTCGAGCGAACTGAGGGGGGTCGTTCCCTCCATCTAGGATGTTGCGCTGGACCTGACGGGCGCGACCCTGGGCGCCGCTCGCCGGGTTACGCGCGCGTGGTGCAGCCTGCTACGCCGATTGCGCCAACGCAGGTGGTGGCTAGCTCTGCCGCCTTTGTCGTAACTCCTTGCCGTGCTTCTACGCACGCGCGAGGGCCTCCGCATGAGGGTCCAGAGAGGTGTGAGTCTGTAGAGACTCCGCTACCACCGGTGGCTGTCCTGGAGCGGCCGCCATAGCACACTCCCGGGACAGAGGGTGGCCAGGTGCCACGACGTCACCGATGCTGGAGCCATCGCTTTCAACCTCGTTATCCATGAGGTCGTGAAAGGAGGC